TTATAAATATAAATATTTAAAAAAAAAAAAAAAAATATGTGTATTTATATATATAATAAAAAATATATAAATATATATATATATAAATTTAAATATTTTTATATATATATATATATATATTTATATATATATATATATATATAAATCTATTTATACATATTTTATATTATTATATAAGATATAATAAATAATAAAATAATAATATATTTTATATATATATATATTTTTCTATATAAATAATAAAAAAAAGTATTTATTTTATTTACATTTTTTTTTTGAATTTATTTTATTACATTTTTTTTTTTTTATTTATTTATTTGACATTTATATATTATTTGTTTGTTGTACATTTTATAATTTTTTTAATATATTCATTTATTATAATTTTTTTTTTTACCATTTTAAATTATCAAAATAAGTTTTGCTTATTTTTATATTTTTTATATAATTTTTATATATTATAATCATATTAACAAAATAAAATATAAAAGAATACACATTTATGCTTAAAGTTAATTAAATATTTATGATAGAATATTTTATATCTAGTAAAATTATATAATAAAACAAATATTATATTAAAAATAAATGATTTATTTTAATTTAACCTTGTTAATATAATTATATATGCAATAGAATTATTATATTTTTCTTTAAAAATAAAAAATATTTATTTTTTCTTTAAATTATATTTATTTAAGTTTAAATATATATTAAAGAAAAAAATATTAAAAATAAATATATTATAAATAATTATTATATGTTTAATAATATAGTATTAATAAAAAATTTTATAAAAAATTTTTAATTACAAATTAAATATATATAAAAATATTAATATATAAATATATAAATATATAATATATATTTATATATATTTATATATATATATTTATCTATATCTATATCTTTATATATTATATTTTCTAATTTATTTATTTTTATATAGATATTAATCATAAAATAATATAAAAATAATTTATTTTTATAAGTATGAGTGATAATTTCAATTATATTTCTTAAAATTTTTTTCTTTTAATTAAAAATTATATAATATAATATAATAATTTTTTATTAAATATGAATCTAATTTAATTAATAAATAAATATAATCTAAAATATATATTTAAAAAAAAAAATTATTTTTAAAGATTTATAAAAATTTTTAAGATTAATTTAATATAAAATATAAAGATTATAAAAAAAAAAATAAGATAATATTTTTTAATAATTATTTCTCTAATATATATGTAAATTTGTATAAATATTTGTATTTTTTTTTATTAATTTTTATAAAATAGGTTATATTTTAATAAATTTTATATATATATATATTTATATATATTTATATATATATAAATTTTAATGCTTATAATCTATTTAATATTTAATATTTTTGTTTTAAATTATATTATTTATATATTTTTTTTTCAAAAAAAAATACTAAATATAAAAACAAAAACAAAAAACTATTATTATTATTTAATATGATAATAAATAGCTAACACTAGAATGTATTTGATATAAGTAATCAATTTTATTAAAATATAGATAATAAACTATTATTTTTACAAAAACAAATAATACAGGAAATCGAAAAATAAGTAACTAATAAAGAATAAAAGGATCTACAAATAATTAGACTACAAGTTTTTAAAAATATTTATGTTAAAAAAAGCAGAATAATATGGATGCAATTTTAATTGATAAACTAAAAAAAATAAATCAATAATAAATGAGGAAAATAAATAGACAAATAACCTTAAATGCGTATAAATCTGATAATTAAGAGGTTTTTTAAAACTAAGATGATAATGAAAATTTCGAATATAAGAAATAGGGAAACATGATACAAAGTTTTTCAAATGTATAAACAAAAATATATGAGAATAATTTAATAAGTAGAAATATTAATAGACCTTAAACATCTTAATAAAGATAAATTTATAAAACAAAGATAGAGAAGATGAATATATGTGATAATATAATATAAGATTGTTAGAATGTATTAAAATAAAATAATTTATATTCCAAAATATTATCAAGTTAAAATTTAAAATAATTAGATTAATTGCATTATATAGATAATTTTTTTTAATTAGAAAAGATGAATCAAAATAAAGAAAATAATTAAAATATTTAATAGAATCAAAATGAAAAAAATAAAAAATTTCATTTCAAAAGACGTTTTACTGATAATAAAGTTCACTAAAAAACAAATTCTAATATAATTAATAATACTAATAATAATAATTTGAATAATAATAATTATTTTTCTAAAGATACGAATAAATTGCATTAAATAACAAAGGCTTATATATAAAATAAATTATAAATAAATAAAAAATAAAATTAAACAGAAAAAAATGCACTTTTTTTAGAATAATATTAACAATCATCTTAAAAAATAAAGGAAAATACATTAATTTCAAATAAAAAATTATAAAGTTCAGAAAATTATAAAAAACAAGAAAATATTTAATATAATAGCAATTATTAAATTAGTAATAACAGTAATAATAATAATAATTATAATAATAATAATAATAATAATAATAATAATTAATAAGTAAATACAATAAACCAATATGAAATAAAGGATATAATAGGTAAGGGAAGTTATGCAATAGTAAAATTAGTAATAGAAAAGTAAACTAATATAAAATATGCATTAAAAGTATATGATAAATTTAAACTTTTAGATCCTTAAAAAAAGCAGAATGTAAAACGCGAGATAGAGATTTTGAAGTCTTTAAATCATAAAAATATTATTAAATTATTTAAAATTTTTAATACTAAAAATGATGTTAACCTTTTAATGGAATTTATTTCTTAAAATACTTTAAGGTTTTTTTATTTTTAATTAAAAATAAAATAATAGTAAATATAATTTTATTAAAAAGATAATATATAAGAAATTTAAATGGAAATATTGTTGAAGAAAAAAATGCGAAAATTATTTTAAAATAACTGGTTTAAGCTATATAATATATGCATGAATAATGTATTGTACATAGAGACATTAAACTTGATAATGTAATGATAGACAGTAATTAATAAGTTAAATTAATTGACTTTGGATTTGCTATTAAAATCGAAAATGATAAAAAATTGAATATTTTTTGTGGTACTCCAAGCTATATGGCACCTGAATTAACAAGGAAATGTGAATATTATGGAAAGCCAGCTGATGTGTGGAGTTTAGGAATTATTTTGTATTTACTTTTGTGCGGAAAGTTTCCTTTCACAGGTTTTCTGTTTGTTTTTTAATTTTATTTTTATTTCTTTCAATTAGGAAAAGATGATGAAGAATTATTTAGAAAAATATAAGCTGGAAACTTTTATATTACTAATAATTTAAGTAATGCTTCTATTTAATTAATTAAAAAGTTACTAAAAGTTAATCCTAATGAAAGATACAAAGCTAAAGATGTATATATTATTTATATTTTAAAATATGAAAAAAAATATAAATAGATAATTGATGATTTGTGGTTTTAAATTTGAAAATATAATATCTTATATAATAAAAAAAATATATATATTCAAAAAAAAAAAATATATATATTCTATTTTTCCTTTTATAATTATAAAAAATATAATATAATTATGATTTTATAATATTTTTTATAAATAAATTATATATATAATCCATCCATTTTAGCAAATATAAATAAATAATTGATTTTCTGTTATTTTATTTAAAAAATATAAGAACCTATATTAATTTTATTAAATATAAAATTGTTAATAAAAAAAAAAGAATGATAAAAAAATATAATTAAAGAATCAATTTATTAAAATGGTTAACTTTTTTATTTTTATAATATATTTACTATTATAATTATCATTTAATATTTAAAAATTATATATATAAAGTATTTATTTTATTTTCAAATAACAAATAATGTATAAATATTTATTAAAATTCGAATGTTATACTTATTATGTCATTATAATATTATATTAATTTCTTTTAAAATCTTATATATTATAATTATAATAACGCCACAAAAAAAAAATATATAAAAAGTTATTTTAAATTAAAAAAAAATATTTATAATTGATTATAATTTTCTTAAATTATATAAATAAAAATTAATTTTTAATAAAAATTTATATATTATAAAAAAAAAAACTGATATTATTTAAAAATTAAAAGTATTTTTTCATATAATTACATGCTAATTATAATTAATAAGTTTTTTATTATATAATTTTATAATATTACATAAATAATAATATTTGTAAATTTATTAAATATAATATAATTAATAATATTAAATTAAAATTATATTCGAATTAATATTTTTATAATAATAACTTAATATTAATGTAAAAAAGATATTAGTTCCAAATATTACTACTTTTTATTATAAAAATACTTGAGTAAAATAAATGTAAATAATATTTATTTTAAAATATTAATTTAATTAAAAAAAAATATTTAATAATTTATAAAAATCTATAAAAAAGGCGTTTAATCTATAAAAAAATATAAAAAATAATACTACTACAATAAATATATATAATATTTAAAACAAACAAACAAAACTTAAAATAAAAAAAATGTTCAATAAAATATAAAAACATTAACCTTTAAGTAATATAAGTCAAATAAAATAGTACGCAATTTTTTCCGATCCAAACATTATTTATAAACAATAAATGGAAGATGCACATTTTTTTAAAGAAATAAATTCAAATGAATTTATTTTTGGAATTTTAGACGGTCATAATGGCCAATAAATTACTTAATATGTAGTTGAAAACTTACCATAAATATTAACAGAAAAATTAATAAAAAATCCTAATAAAGATATATCAGAAATATTAATTAAAGTATTTGAAGAAATGTCATAATTAATATATGAAAATATACCTGAATAAGCATAAGAAACTGGCACTACATGTACTGTATGTGTTCTTAGAAATGAAAATAATTAAAAAGTCTTATATAGTGCTAACTTAGGAGACTCCAAGGCTATATTATATACTAATGATTAATCATTTTAATTAACTATTGATCATAGAGCAAGTAAGGATGAAGAAATTTAAAGAATAAAAAAATTTGGAGGTTATGTAAGTATGGGAAGAATTTAAGGTATTTTAGAAGTAAGTAGAAGTTTTGGAGATTTAAAATTTCAATAAAATGGTTTTATTTCTATTATTCCTTCCATAAATAGAATTATTTTGGAAAACAATATGGATTAAAAATATCATATTGTGGTTGCTTCAGATGGACTATGGGATTATGTATAAGATGAGAATATAAAAGATGTTGTTTTTAAAGATTTTTCGAATTGTAAAAATGTGGCGAAAAATCTCGTTTATTAATCAAAATGTTAAAATTCTAAAGATAATATATGTGTTTTATCGGTTTTTGTTAATTTTTTAGATAATAGTAGATAAAATATATTGGGGTGAATTTTTTTTTTTTATTTTGTAAAAAAGAAATTAAAAATATACATTATATAATTTTTATTTAGTTTTTAATAAAAATAACATATATTTAATAAAATTTATTAATATTTAATTTATTTATTACTATTTTTTTAAAAAAAAGGAAATGAATTTTATTTATTAGTGATATAAAAAAAAAAAAAAACTTTTATTTTAATAAAACAAAAAAAAATTTTTTTTTATTATGAAATTAATATATAAAGATTAAATTTTTATTTATATATTAATTTATAAATATAATAATAATTATATATATATTATTTTAAATGAAAAAATATTATAAATATTATATTTTTCATTGAAAATTATAAAATTTGACTTTATAATAATAATTGTATATTTTATAATATAAATGTATATATTTTTTATTTAAAACCAACAAATTCATTCATATAATCATATAATATTTAATATCTTGATATTTGAATATTTATTTTCCTTTTTTAAAATTCTTTAAAATAATTATTTAAATATTTTATTAATCATTATCCGAATATATTTTAAAACTTTTTTTTTTTTCTATTTAATTATTAAATAAAATGTATAACATTTTATATTTTATTACTCATATCATAAAAGCATTGAAATATTTTCATATTAATAGAATAAAATTTAATTGTATAAAAATTTGAGAAAATAGTATTTATTTTATTAACTTATTAATATATTAGTATCTAATTTCTCAAACAATTTAAAAACGTAAAATTTAATGAAAAATTAATATATAAAAAAAAAAAAATATTATAATTTTCCAGAAATTAATATTATTTGTTTATACTTAAGATAAATTTAGATTGATAAATTTATAAATTACAAAAAAATATTGAAAATTTATTTTTCATAAAGGGGATACGAAATTCTATTTAAAACATCAAAATTAATATAATATTATAATTATATAAATAATCAAAAAAATCTTAATAAAGTACTAACAAGTACGAACAAAAACAATAATAACATATCCATACATTATTTATATAATTATTTAAATTATATACTTTTTATTTTTTTATAAATATTATTAAAAGGTTTTAATATATTTAATTTCCCTAAAAAAATTAAAATTAAAGTTATTTAGAATGATTTTAGTTGTAGAATATTTAGGTTCTAATATAAATATTTTAAAAATTATTTCTGTTTTCAATCAAAAACTACTTAAATTATATCCAAAACTCGAATCTTATCTTTGATGAAAAATACCTTATCTCTGTATATATTTCATATTCTAATAATTTCCATAAGTGCAAAAAGAGATAATTATCATAAAAATTAATTATATCTAATAAAAATGTAATATTAATTAAGTAAATACCATTTTATAACAAAATAATTTCTAATTTACAAATTATATTATATATTTATAAAAGTAAATCAGAATAATAATAAAAAAAATACAAACTAATGTAAAGTTAATAATATTGAATTTTATTAATTTTATATGTTTATAATTTTATCTTTTTATCTTTAATTAATAAATTAAAAAATTAATATATTTAAATATTATTTTATAATTTTAATTTCCAGATTTTCTTAAAATTTATTTATTAAAGATTTAAAAATTTCTATTATTTTTTTAATTTGATTTTATAATATTTTTTTTGATTTTATTTATAATAATATAAACAATTATTTATAAATATTTTTTTTAAAAAAAAAATAAAATAAAAAAATAAAATTAATTATATAGAAATATAAATAGACAATAGTATTATAATAAGATAAATATAAAAAATAAAAAAAAGATATATTAATATTTTAAATTTTTATATTATATAATTTAATATTTGATATATATTTAGATATATATATAAATAAAAATATATAAAAATATATATATTTATATATATATTTTTTTTCTATATTTTAATTAATAATTATTTTTTATTAATTTTTTTTAAAAAATAATATTATCTTTATTTTTAAATACTAATTTTATATATTATAAATAATTGCATTTAAAAATTTTTATATAATATAAAAAAAAACATTTACATTAATATATTTTTTATTATTTAATATTTTTTTTTCAATTTAATTTTTTTTCTGAATAATAAATAATATTTAATTATAAAATCTTTATAATAATAATGTAATTTAAAAAATATAATTTTTTTATTTTTTAATACAAAATTAATATTGAATTTTATAAAAATATAATAAATAGAATGAAAATTAATATTTAATAAATTATATTAAAAAATATTAATTTTTATTAAATAATAATTTATAATTATACAATATAAATATAATAACATTAAAAACTAAATTTTAACTAGAATAAAATGGGATAAGTTTGCTAAAAATTATGTAGTACCGAAAAGTGTAGTGATCTTAAAGATTTATATGCTTAAAAAAAAAATCTAGAAATAAGTTCCCCCTTATTAAATTCATCTCCATTTATAAATTCTCCAACAACAAAATAAATAAGTATAAATGATTTTGAAAAACTTGACTAATTAGGAGATGGTGCATTTGGTGATGTTATTTTAGTAAAAAAAAAAGCAACAATAAAATATACGCAATGAAAATCGTAAAAAAAGATAAAATAATAGCCCGTAATTTTATGGGAAAAATGAATTGTGAAAAAAAAGTACTTTTAGAAAACAAAAGTCCTTTTTTAGTAAGTTTAAGATACGCCTTTTAATCATAAAATAAGCTTTATTTAGTTATGGAATATTGTTCAGGAGGTGACCTTTATTTTTATTTGAAAAAATATACTCGTTTTTCTATCTAAACTGCAAAATTTATTGGCGCAGAAGTACTTCTAGGTATTTTTTTTATTTTTAAAAAAAAAATAGTAAAAAAAAAACAAGGTTTATATTATTTACACCATGATATGAAGATTGTATATAGAGATTTAAAACCTGAAAATATTCTATTAACATCTAATGGACATATAAAAATTTCTGATTTTGGACTAGGAAAACAACTTAAAAATGAAGATGATTTAACTTATACTTTTATAGGGACTTAAGAGTATATAGCACCAGAAATGATTCTTAATTAAATTAATTAAAATGAACATGGATATACTCAGAAATGCGATATATGGGCTTTTGGGATTTTCTTATATGAATTAATACATGGTAGACCTCCTTTTATACATCCGATGAGAAATTGGTAGTTTATTATGAAATAAATTTTGGATAACAATATTTAGTTTAGTAAATATTTCGATGAAAGTTCGTAAGATTTAATTAAACAATGTATGAATAATGATCCTTTGAAAAGGCCAGGATGGGAATAAATAAAAAAGCATGAATTTTTTAATAATATTGATTGGGGGTTAGTTAAATAGAGAAAATATGAGAGTTAGTTAAAGTAGTTTATTTAAGATAAAAATAACAAGAAATAATCATTAAATGCGGAATCTATTATGGAAACTTATTAGATAGGAAATGGTAAAAAATTTGATGGATTTACGTATGATCCTAATGATGATAATATAAATAATAATAATGAAAAAAGTTAGAGAAATAGCGATAATTTTTAAAAAAATAAAATTAATAAATATGAAGGTTAATGATGAATTTAAATAATTTTTTCTCTTTTTATATGAACTTTATTCATTTTATATATATTAGTTTTTTAAATTAATTTAATTTATTGTTTTTTATATATATAAAATATTTCTCATTTTTGATATTGTTTTATATTTTTTAAAGCTTAATTTATTATTTTTTTAAAAAGAAAAAATTAAAATATATATTTATGCATATTTTTTTTTTCTATTTATCTTATCTTTTGTTTGTTTGATTTAAGAAAATTAAATATTTATTCTCTTTTTGTTAAAAATTGTATATAAACCTCACTTTATTTAAATGATTGGATAAAAAATATAAATAATATATAAAAGGAATACATAATTTATATTTATTTTTAGTTTTAAATAACTCTTTTTCATAACAAAATTTTTTAAGTCTACTAAATTTATGGATTATATGTTAAATAAATATATTTTAAGAAAATCAAAATAAAAAAATTTATATAAATTATATAAAATATCTAATAAAAAATATTTATTATTATAAATAAAATTTATATTTATTTAAAAAAAATTTTAAATATAATTATATTAATTATTATAATTTATTTAAAAAAAAAAAATTAAAAATAAAATACAAAATATATATATATTTATTTATATTTATAAGTAAAAATAAATATCATAATATTTTTAAAGTTAAAATAATTCTTGAACTTAAAGGTAAAATATTTAAATTATTCTAATTAATAGTAAGATGATCGATTCCAAAAATTACATTATTATTAATAAAATCCTAATATTTTTAATCTTATTTATAAATAAATTAAAAATTATCTACATTAATTTATTTCCATAAATTTTCTAAACACATATGTGTTGAAAAATGCGAAAGAACAAGTTTTTTCGTATTTAATTAAAACGCGAATTTTATAACTTCAGAAAAATACGAATGATTTTTTTCAAAAGCACTTTTTATTTATTAATCTGAAAAAGTGCATTCATGTATTAAACAATCTATATTTTTTAAAAATCTCATTTATTATTTTTACTAAACCAAAGCTTTACAATCGCCCAAAAAAGCTATTTTTTTCCCATTTTTTCCTTAAATGAAAATTCCACAGGATTAATTACAATGATAAACAGGGAAAATTTATAAATCTTATATTCCTATTTTTTAAATTAATTTCCAAAAGTTATCTTTTATGACTTTTTTTGAAGTTTTTTTATCATAGTCGTCTTCATATTAATCTTCAAACTCATCTATATAATCGAAATCTTCGATTACTTTACTTGCTCTGCATTTTTTATATTAAAAATTATTTTCAAAAAGACATACTTCTTCGTGAAATAAAAAATAAGCGTTCAATTTTTAAATTTTCTCATCAAATTTTTACAAATACCTCAAAAAGTTTTTCGGTCCAATTACAAAAACAGGATTTTTTTGTTTAATTTATGATAAAAACTCCAAAAGTCCTAAATGATGATCTGAATGGTGATGAGAAACAAAAACAAATTTAATTTTTTATAATTTTTCCTAAATAATTTTCTCATTAAAATTGTATTATTTCTAAAATTATAAAAAAGTACTACCACCGCAATCTAATAGAATACTATTTTCTTCATCTAAACTAATCAAATAACTTGAAACATTTCTATTTTCTGTACAATTAGAACTACTTGTCCCCAAAATGATAATTTCAGGATATTTTTCCAAATTTTATTTTTAATTTTTTTCTATATCAAAAATAAGGTTTTTAATTATTTCCAAGTTTTTATATTTCTCGATTATTTTTGAATTTTCTTGTGTATATTTACATTTACTTTATGTCCATTTTAGATTCATTTCTTCGTCTATAAATAGATTATGGTTTCTTTTATAAAGGAATACATTTTTAATTTTAAAAAAGGGTGAATTTTCGAAAAAAGAATAGTTTTATTAATTATTCCACGCAAGTAAATTTTAGTGATCAAAATAGGGATAAAAATAAGGAAAAAGTTGATAAATATTCTACTATTTTTGGAAATAGAGAGGTAAATAATTCTAAACAAAATCTTTTTATTCATTTTAGGAGTATTTTTTGGCCAAAAAAATATGCTTTTTTTAATCCAAAGACTCCACAAATTATACATAAGGATTTTTTTCTAAAATTTAAGAAGGTCCTAAATGAAAAATCAAAGAAGTTTTTTCGAATAAAAGACTTTTTTATTAAAAATATTCAGATAAGAGAAAACTTTATAAAACTTCGTCTTTTTAAATATCCAGAATTAAAAAATTCACCTCATAAGGTTTTTTATAGAAATCTTTTAATTAAAATTCATTACCTTCTATATTTATTTTTCCTTTATTTCTTATTTCACTTTACTTTTCTAAGGGTATTTTTTCCTTAATTAATTCAAAATCTAACAATGTAACATTTTTTATCATTACATGGTACTAAATATGTGAATTATTTTGTTTGTCCTTTAATATAATTGGAGTTATTTTCACATTTTCGTCTTCATATGTATTTTTATTATTAATATTTAAACTATCATATGCTATATTTAATTCTTTTGGCTTATATCTTTTCTACATAAACTCTACTATATTATCATTTCTAATTGTTTTTATTAATAAATCATCTAACTGTTCCTATGTACGAACCCCTATATATTTTTTAAAAGGAGGCTTTTATATTTCAAATGAGGCTGCACTTAATTTGTAAAATTTAAGGCCTAAACAATATTTTAATTCTGGGAAATAATCTAACATTTTATTACATCCAAATAATTGTAAATTTTACATATTTGAGTATTTTCTATAAACATATATATATAAATATAAAATTTAAATTTTTATTACTTATTATCTATATTTAATAAAAAATCAAATAATCCACTCATCGATTCAGGATTAAATTATGTGTAGAATATACGGCCTTGCTTTTCAAATTATATGTTATTAAAACGCCAGTCTTTGTGGATATTAGGGGGAGTGTTTACGAAATACGAAACATGGCTTGTTGCTGTTTTACAGTTAAAATATATAAGAGGATACTTTTAATTGTCTATGTTTTTTATAATTCTTAAAAAATAATACATAGTTTTTTTATTTTATTTTTAATTATTTTATTATATATTTAGCTTTAGTTTAAAATTACACATTTTTTTATATATATTTATTTAAATAAAAACTTTCAAATAAACAATATAAAAGGCACCCTCCTTTTTATAAATAGTAAATTGTTATTTTTTGTACTATGTCTTATTTGAAAATTATTTTTAAATTAAATAAACAAAAAATATATATTTTTCATTTAACATTCATAATATTTATTTTAAAATATATAGAATGTATTTTATTGTATAATTTGATATACATTTTATTTATTTAATGCGTATATTTATATTTAATTGATTTTTTGGATTTTTTTTGATTCGATACATGCTTTTTAAAATTTAAACTTATAAAATAAACGTATTAATTGAATTTATTATAAATATTTTTAATAAGGTTTTTAGAATAAATAAATTAAATTCGTTCATAATTTTTAGGTTTTTTTTTCAAATATAAATTCCATTTTAAATAAAAAAAAATATCAAAAAAAAAATAACTTTATTATTTATTTAATATAATATAAATTATATTAATTAAAATTATAATATTTAAATTTATAATTAATTATATTTGATTGTATTCAGCATAATTTTATTTATTTTAATATTTTTCTTTTTAAATTAGGAAATAATAAATTAGCTATCTTATATATAATTTTTACTTTTAATATGTAAAAAACTCTTTTAAATTGATGAATAATATTTTTATTAATAAAAAATATATTAAAAAATTAAAAATACTAAAATAATAATGACCATAAAAAAAAAAAATCAATTAAAAAATTTTATAAAAAAAATTAATAAAAATTAATTATAAAAAAAATAAAAATATAAATATTATCAAAAAAAGTAAAAATACAAAAATGCATTCATATTGCAGTCCAGCAAAATCATATACACCCTATTTAAGACGTTCATCAGTATCTACATCTTATTTAACAAGAAATCCTTATATAACAACTTAATCATTTAGTGTTCTAAGCCCACCTCCTTTAAGACAAGAATGGACCGAATATTAGCCTGTTGAAAAAAAATATATTTCATATGTTCCTGAAGTAAAAGTCGACTATAAGCCAGTTGAAAGGGTATATAAAGACTATGTGGAAATTAAACATGTTACAAATTATGAACCTGTAAAAAGATTAGAAAAAAGAACATAATATGTCAAGGTTAACAATTACGATGAATATATTGATTACGTTCCAAGATAATATTCTTATATTTCAAAAAGCCCAAATCCAATTAATTTGAGAGAATCTAGATATATCAGTAATAGATAAATTGGAAGTTATATACCTTATAAAAATATTTGATTATTATATTAATTATTTAATTTTGTTTAGTTATTTATTAGCTTTTTTGTTTTGTTATATTTTTTTATTTTTATTGCAATATTTTGATTGATTGATTTTTTTAATTTTTTAATTTTTTTTTTTAAATAGTTAGTTATTAAATTAATAATAATTAAAAAAATATATATGATAAAAAAAAATTATATTTGAAAAACAATTAAAATATTTATAAAAAATTTTTATTATTTAAAGTAAATATTTATATTATAAATAAATTTTATAAAAATAATAAATATAAAATTTTTTTATTATATTAGAAAATTATAATTAATTAGGTAATTAATATTAAAAATAATAAAAGAATAATTCATTTTTTTAAATATATTATTATATAAAAATTTTATATTAAAATGAATAATATAATTTTTTTTTTTATAATTATATCATAAATATATTTATAATTAAAAATAATAAATTTAAATTTAAAAATAATATATTAATATTTTTTTTAATGATTACATATATAATATATTTATTATTTAAATAAAATAACATATACATAAAAAAAATTAATTAAATTTAATTTTAATATTTATCATTAAAACTATATAAAAAAATTAAAATAAATGAGTATATAAGTAAATAATAAATAATTGTTAGAGAAACCTTATTATAATATACACAAAAAAAATATTATGTTAATATGGTTTAATAAAAGTTTAATAAACTTATTTTTTTGTTAATTTATTTAAATTAAATTAAATTTTTTTATTATAAATGGGACAGCACACACATATAAGTATTATAAAATAAATAATTACATTAAAATATGAAACTCTATAAAAGACAAGGGATTAAATAAAAATTAAATTAGTGGGACATATAATATAATTTATAATCATGAATTCGCATATTAAATATTAAATATTATTACTATTTTATTATAGCTGTTAATTTTCAAAATAATTAATAATGGAAAAAAATTATTTAATAAAATATACATTTAATATGAATTATATATATATATATATATATATATATATATATATATATATATAT